GTGGATAGAAAATGAAAGAACCAGGGTGGATAGAAAATGAAAGAAGAACCAAGAAGGATAGTAACAGAAAGACCACAATTTGTATAAATGACTTAGAAAACATAGAGGTTGATAAATGAGAAACATGTGTAATCACAAGAAAAGAGAGAGAGGAGAGAGAGAGAGAGAGAGAGAGAGAGAGAGAGAGAGAGAGAGAGAGAGAGAGAGAGAGAGAGAGAGAGAGAGAGAGAAGAAAACGAAAGAACCAAGTATGATAGAAAATTAAAGAAGACCTAGGGAGGATTTAAATGAAAGAAGAACCAGGGAAGATAGTCTTGCGAAAATAAACATCAGAAGGAGAGTGAAAGAATATCCAGGGAGGATATAAAATGAAAGAAGAAGCAGGAAGGATAGTAGTGTAAAAGAAAGATGATGAGGGAAAGTGGAGAAAACACCAGAAAGGATAGTGTATTAAAGAGCGAAACAGAGGGATAGATCACATAAGAAGGATGAATAGGACGAGGACGATAATTTATGAAGGAAACATCAAGGGGATAGGGGAGGACAGTGTGAGAAAGAAAAGTCGGAGAGATAATGAATGAAAGGAGGACCAGGAAACACAAAATGAAAGGACAACCTGGGGAAATGATAGAGAGTGAAAAACCAAGAATATGAAGTGAAGGAAGCACTAGGAGAAACAGAAACTGAAATAAGTAACGCGGAGGATAGAGAGTAACAGAAGTTTGAAGAGAGAGAGAGATTCCCATTAGAAGACAAGGAGAGGGGAATGGAGCGAAAGAAGAATCACAGAGAAGAGGGATAAAGAAAGTAAGAATTAGCACAAGGAAGAAGAAGAAAGAAGAAGGATGGATAGTGTAAGGAAAGAAGCCACAGGAAAGAGGGGTGATAAGAGAGAGGGGATAGAGTCCTTGAAGTGGAGTCACTGAGGACACCCAGCGAAGAGGACACTGAATCGATAGATGCAAAAAGGAAAGGACAGGAAACGAAGAGGCAGAGGATGAAGAAAATAACTCGTCAGAAGAAAACAGGAAACGAAGGGGCAGAGGATGAAGAAAATAACTCGTCAGAAGAAAACAGGAAACGAAGAGGCAGAGGATGAAGAAAATAACTCGTCAGAAGAAAACAGGAAACGAAGGGGCAGAGGACGAAGAAAATAACTCGTCAAAAGAGCGCAAGAGGACAGGAAATGAAGAGGCAGAGGACAAAAAAAATGACTAAACAAAAGAGAGCAAAACTGAAATATTTTTTGAATTTTGACGAAAATGACAAAAATGTCAGTGACTTATATCTGGTTGAGCATTCAACACAAGGATTAATGTTAACTAGTGATTATATTTTAATGATAATTCATCATCATCGATATAATAATGAAATAATAATAATAATAATAATAATAATGAGAAAAAGATGATTATCATTGTTATAACAATTATTATAGTTATTTTAATTATTATTGCGTTTAAAATAAAGTGCTAGACTAGTAAGGGTCACAAAGCACATGGAGAATAAGAGGGTAATAATTTTTAATCCAAAGGACGGGAAAGTGCAGTTCCAGGTCCAGCCTCGAGGAAAAAAAGGTCAGCTTCAAGAAAGAAAGGGCAGCCTTGAGATAAAAAGGATCAACCTCGAGAAGGAAAGGTCAGCTTCGAGGTAAAAAAAGGTCAACCTCGAGAAAGAAAGGTCAGCCTCGAGGTAAAAAAGGTCATCCTCGAGGTAAAAAAGGTCAACCTCGAGAAAGAAAGGTCAGCCTCGAGGTAAAAAAGGCCATCCTCGAGAGAGAAAGGTCAGCCACGAGGAAAAAAAGAAATGGTCAGCCTCGAGGAAGAGGCGAGTCTCTGCTCTTCCTCGAGGTTCTATTACATGACGGCCACACACTCAAACTCAAGGTCCAGAGAAATCCCACTAATAAGGTTGACTTTGTAAGTAGAAAACAGAAAGAAGTAATATGGAAACGTATTTCACATATAACTTTTTCCTGGGACACTGAGTTCGATCATCACAATAAGTTTTAATATTAAGCTGTGTCCAAGCTTTTTTTTTTTTTTTTTTTTTTTTTTACACAGGGTTTGACAAGGTTAAGGATCCCTAGCTTTATTGACAAGCTATTTACAGGTTAAGGATTCCTAACTTTATTGGCAAGCTAAGAGCTGTTACCTACATCAGCTCATTTGAAAGCACTTTTTATTGGTATGAGACATACAAGTAGGGAACAGGATGAAGTTGGAGCCTTCTGTGGGCCAGCATTTTCATTTGATCAACTGACTTTATCTCGTTGACATCATTATGCTGTAAGAATGTGTTCCATACTCGATTCATCCTGGGTATGTATGATCTCAGATGGAGTGATGTTCTGGAGAAGGGTACAGCCAGAGTGAAGTTGCTGCTTTCTGCCCGTCTTGTGGCATAAAAGCTTGTTTCATGCTGTCCTCGAAGTGGATCCAAGTGTGGTACTTTGACAATATTGGCCTTGTACATAACAGTAAGGCCACCCACATCCCTCCTGTGTTGATGGCTCTGATGAAATGACAGATTTATCCAGGATGGGTCCAGGCGAGAGATGAAAGTATAAGCTTAGTGTCCATGTTTGGTCGGTATTGACCTTCCACTTCCTGGATGACATTATCCACTTATTT